TCCGCTGCGACGCAGCCGGTCGCGGTTCGATCCTCGGCTACCGGGCGGCATTTTTCTCCGGACAAGTCGCGGTGACCGGAGAACAAGTGCTGCCATCCCCCACCCCCGGGGCATGGCAGAAACCTACGGGTGCCCCATTCGAAATTCTGCCAAAAACAAACACACACGTGTTCCCCCCTACCGTCCCAAAATATACAATACAAACCTACAATACAAATCCTACTACAGCTAATGGCCTCAGTTGCCGAAGCTTAAGATCAATAAAAAAAAAAAAGATAACAAATTTTGAGTTTTTGTTGTACCTTTTACTTATAGAGTGCCCTGTGGTGATACAATTTTTTTATTTCAAATAAAAACACTTATTTTTTAATGTAAATTAATTAATGGATAATTTTTTTGAAAATGCCGATGTATTTAAATTGAAAATGGTTTGACGGTATTTAACTCGGATACCAGTATTGCAGTAGGTATTCAAATTGCAATCGGTTCCGGTATAGAACGGTTTACCGTAATGGTATAGTATCAGTACATATCGTAATTCCCTAATCATACCATAATACCAAAAAACCGGAATCTGGAATATCGGAAAACCGTAATAGAATATTACCAAAAAACAATTATACAGAATTACCGGCTTATACCATTATACCGCCAATTGGTTCGGTAGTATTGCGTATGGCTATGAAACACACCAAAAAACATTGATTTTTATACATAAAACATTGGTCGATATTATGTAACATTTAAAAAAAATATTAACTTCGGTATCGAATGGGACGTCGGTACTTCAGTATTACAGTATGCTGTTAAAGCGGTGTTTGAGCAATAACCGGTATACCGGTTAACTGTTTTACCAATATATGATGGTTAACCGATGAAATTGTCAAGTGTCAACTAAACCTATTATCCTTAGCATACCAAGTTGAATAACTCAAAAACGACTGGTTCGAAGTTTTGAATTTGATACATTGGAAGGAGTGGACATAATATAACGGTCAAATGAAGGTTACGTGAATCTGAAATGTGACTTTGGGTAACGAACTCACGAATCACAGACGACTAGACATTATATTGAGTGTCCGATACGTGAATTTAATGTACCTACTATGAAATATAGGTATTCACCTGCAGTTAATATTATACCGTTAATTATACTTTTCAATTTTTCAGCTTCACATAAAAGTTATCTATTCATGAAAGAAAAACTATCAAGTTAGTTATTGTATATTTATTTATTTTATGCCTTATATATTATGTTTTCGGCAATTAGAAAAACGGCATTGGCCACAATGCTCATTTCAATAGTCGAAGTGAGAAAAGTCTATATTGCCTATTTTCTCCAGAAATTAAGTACAATGACCAAATAAAGGTGGGCGAAGTAGATAAAATATTAAAATTAGTAAAACTAAATTGTATTATACAAAGTAGTATAATATGCTTTAATTAAGCAAAATAAATTTAAAATATTATTATACTATACACAAAACATTATTTTTTTATTTATTTTTTATAAGGCCAACAATTGTGAATTTAAAAGTTATTAATGTGAGCTGAGCTTATAATATTAAATTTGGTTAAAAATTCCACTATGAAATGATTTTATCTGTACATTTTATTGACCATTCAAAATGTTTATAGAAGATTTTATATAGCAGCGTCAGCGATGTAGTGTAATAATAGTTATAGAAACTTATTATTACAGTTATTGTAATTGTTATTGTAATCGAATTATTCCAAAATATCAATTCATGGATTTTGAGTGATGTTTAAATTGTTTGTATAATGTTTAGTTAGATAGTTCACAACTTCCGGTATTTTTCAATTTCTGAAACTATTATAATAATATAAAACTGGCCTGAAACGTGCCAAGAATGTTTTGGTTTTTTCTTAAAATATTAATTTAATTCAATTTAAATTTACCATAGGATTTTAGGCAAGAGTATAGCTTGCGTGGGAATTTCCTTACTATTTCCAAGCATTGTAGAAAATATTGAAGATTTTAATTGTGAACAACATTCAAATGATAACATTTCCCATAACTATCTGACGAGGATGTGTAATAGAATATGATACCAGGACACCCTCAACCATATCAATTGTACTCAAATAACTTCGATATTATCTCAAATGATTAAGTATGGTGTGAGAAGGCTCAGGAATACCAATTCTACCAGTTAGATGTACTCCCATGGAAATCTTCACATAATTATTTTTTATTTTTTCCACCCCTTGTTTGTCACAATCTCCAATTCAAGGTTCTTCATTTTAGGGTATCATGGTCCACCTTTTCTTTGATTTCTTAAAATAGTATAAAACAGCGGTTCTCAAACTTTTTTTTTCGCTTACCAGTACATAAGTATATTATCAATCAGTCACGTACCTACCACAGATGGTTAAAAATAGAAAGATACAAACTTTACACTGTAGAATGTTGCGTGGTTTTGAATTTATAATATACTAATGACGCACTTTAGTTTTTTTTACTCAACCATTTCTTCTATAAATTATAATATTATATTATGCAGCTCTTTTGTGTGTTTTAGCACACATGTCCATCAATTTTCCAATGCCATGATTTAATTATATTCACGTGTATCTATACGATTTTCTTTAACAATTTCAAATGGGTAACTATTCGTTAGTTTTCCTCTATATCTTGCTACTGTCCCGTTCATCCACCTCCAACATCACATTTCTGACATCTAGTATTTTCTCATAATTTACTAACATTATATTATATCCGATATCGGTGTACATGCCTATTATATTTTTGAAAATGTTTTCACGAATCCAATTAATAAAACAAATTAGATAAAAGGAAAAAGCAACAAGCAAATACTAATATTAAATTTATTTTTTTTTTACAGACGAAAGGTCAAGAAGCCCACTGGATTTTTGTAAAGTCACTGCTTATGAGAATTATATCACCAAAAAAGAAACCAAACCAGAGGAATAAAAACGAAACTTTATACGTATGGCCATATATGTATAAATTTGAATGTATAACTTATATTTTAATGTATCTCTCACGTGATGAACTTCTCTATCAAGAGAATATTATTACAATTGAATTTTATTTTCATAAAATATGTATGTCAATCTCATAAGTGTACTTTAATATTATGCACCTTATTGTTCAGTATGCAACATAAAATAGATTGTACGGATAAAAGAATTATGTTTAGGTTAAAAAAAAAATGTGTACATCGTACCTATTAAACTATAGATAATCTTAAAAATAAAAATCAAGGGCCAAAAATATTTGTACGGCTGCACCTATTTGGCTTAGTTTCTTAATCGTCTGATGATGTTTTTGTATGAAAGAACATTTTAGGAATATCCATCGGAAAAGTAAGAAATCTGGATGAATGTGAAGTACAACAGTGACTCCATCTGTTCAGTAAAAAAAAAAAAATAATAAACTGTGTTTAAAAAAAAAAAAGCACCACGGCCCAAACTATTAGTTATAATCATATAAATAATGGATAACACGTTTGCGCTAAAAAACATACAATGAATCGCAGTATTTCATTATATGAGTATCAAAATCAAATTTGGGACAGTTCATTATTTATTAGCTATACATTTTAAAGTTTATATAAGCAGAGTATTGTGGACGAACTTTTAGCGGGGTATCTCTCCACTCCACGCACCTATACTTAAAATAGTTCCTTATAACTCATCCAAAGTCATTTATACTCATCCAAATTTCAATTTTTATGAAAGTGTCGAAAGTGTCGAAGTACTCCAAACATATTATGTTTTTGAATAAAAAATAAAAATTGCATTTTGTCGTTAAACTTTTTCGAATGATTATAGTTACTGTAATAAATAGAAAAAATATTTTTTAGATAAATTTGGTTTTTTAAAGACTTAAAATGATATAAATAAAAATGTTTTCAAAAACATCTATAGTAGGTACCTAAATTGTTAAATCCTTTCATTAAATGGATTACCTAGTATAATATAACATGCCTAGGTAATATAAATGGATGTTGACCAGCACCGAAATGACTCGCTGTACCATATTATTATTCGTTATTAATATATTTTTTACCAACGGTAGCTACATAACAAATGTAGGTAGGTACGAGAGTCAAATATTTTAATACATAAACAAACACTGTGTTCAAGCCACCGAAATTATACTATGCCTAATAATAATGAAACCTCTTACAGTATTAAATTATTTCAATACGCCAATGTGTTTGACATAATGTAGGGCACTTTGTCTGAAAGCAAATCCTAAGACTCTGCCGCGGATACCCACTATGAATTGAATCTATTGTTTTGTACTTATGTGAAGTACCTATGGTACCCAAGAGCTTTTTTGCTTTTTGCTTTTTAAAAATCAATTCCATAATAATAATATATAGGTATTGTACATAATACAATAGTAATAATTGATGAGACCATAAAATCGTTATCATATTACCATAGTTGACAGGTATAAGATCAAAAAATACGTCACATCATATTTATTTTCACTGGACTTAATAATTATTTAGTATCTATTGGGAATACTGGGATATCGCTAATAGAAGTAAAAGAAATAAAGTCATCACAGTGATAGGCAAAGTACAACACACTTAAATAATATATCAATTGCATATGGGTAGGTACTACAAGAAACACTGGTGGTGCTTCTCATTAAACAACTATTAGATAACTTTGATCTACCTTTTATCACGATTTATGACGAGTATTTTCTTGTATGGTTTTTATAGTGTCAAAAATATCAACTATTGGTAGAAACAAAAAAAAATTGAAATTGCTCTTCATCTTCTAACGAGCACTAACAAAGAACTTAATATGAGAGGGACATCCGTATCCCATGTTTCTGATAGTACACAAAACTAGTTTTTTTTTGAAAATAGGTCAAGCGCATTTTCATCTCACATGTCTTGATTTAGCAGAATGAATTTAATGTAGGTAACTTCATATATTTAAGTTACAAAATGATATCTCGTTTGAAAATCACTCAAATTATTTTTCGCATTTATATAATAATAATATTATTACAACAATGATTCTACGATATAGTGGGAGGTATCTATTATAATACGCATATACGTCTCTTCCTGGGAATTCTCATTTAACTCTTGCGACAATGACGATGTCCTTTTCACGACAGCCGCCAGAGTGGAAATGAACTATAATATATAATATTATATGGTAACAATCAACGGTGCGCTTTCTCCAGATAATAAATTTGTGCGTGTGTGCGTGTGAAACTACGACTCGATCCTATTGTTCGTCGCTTCATTGTTTATTGATTTTATATAAATTATTATATTGTCTCCTTTGATTCACCGGCTGGTTCGATTCGTTGAACATTTTAACAGTTGATATACATAACAATATAACGCAATACGGAACAATGATAACATTACATTGTCCGACAAAGAGATGGAAAAGCTTTTTATGTTGATGATAACAATTAAAAACTGATAGCAATACTATTATAATATGCGTTGTCTAAGATAGGACCGACAAACAGTTTGCCGATCAAAAATAATAGCCGTGAAAAAGATTGTTGCTGAGTATTATATTTTAATATTTTATAATAGATTTGAAAGAAATAAAAAATGTAAGAACTACAAATTCAATAATACGAAAAAATAATATTACAGAGGACAATACGAACGCAGAGGCTGAAGTGCACTGAATATCGAACACTCCGCCGCACTCGACCTGTAATTTCGTTCACCTTGATACGATCCTGCAGCTTTTTATTTATATTATATATTATACGTTTGAAAGCAACGGGATAAATCATCGTATTCGAAAAACCATTAGGTTTATAGGAGTTTAAAAAATAGTTGAAGTGCTCGTAAAAATAATTTATTAAATGAATTGAATATGAATTGTTAATACTCGAGTGGCCTTGTATGGAAATTGGAAGACTTCATAAACCAATAAATCTTATAGGTGGAAATAAAAAATCACAAAAAAACAATTTCATAGGGAAATAATATTATATAATAACCTTATAGCAATGTTGACCTGCTGCATAGCCATTGAAGAAATATATTATATTGCTTTTTTTACTCGCAATATAACAAACATATGATGTCTGCAATAGCTAAAACTTAAAATAGAAGTTCAAACTTTTTTCTACAATATAGGTAATGTGTCACATAATTATTTTTAAAAATTATTAGACAAAATTTTAATTTTACATCACTCAAAAATTAACAAAAATTGGAAACACTCCCTAACTGGATTCTCTGATTGAAAATTGGTGATTCGTTACTGAGGGAAACCTATATAGCCACCCTATAGAGGTTAAAAAAATGGATAATCTCGAGACAAACACCCTTCGGGTCTCAAAGAATCTATTTATATAGCTTTTATTGAAAACAACCCAGTTACTAGTTTTTGAGCCTATAAAGGACAAACAAATAATGAAAAATGTTCAGTTTTTATTTATACTTAAATTACTATAATATATCACTATAGTACTCAGAGATAATGTAGCTTTCTATAAGTGAAACAATTTTTTTTAAACTGGTTTGGAGGTAGTTATATACAGAGATTACACCATACATACAAACAAATGTTACTTCTTCGGATAAGTATAAGTAAGTATTGATAAGTTTATAATACAAGATAATAATAATATGTAAATAATGAAAATCATTTTAATTTGTTTACTTTAGTGTATAATTTGAATTGTTAAATTTCGACATGGCTACGACTAATATGGTTTAAAGTCAGTACCTATATTGTATATCACTCAAAAAATGTCCATATGGTATATAAATTAATGTCCATGAACAACTCTACACATTTATCAACGTAGGTATATCTACGAAAATGTATACGCGCTTGCACAAAGTATCGATTTAGTGTCCGCGAGTGATTTTATTAAAATAAAAGTGCCTCACATTGCGCGAGTACCTGTATACTGTGGCAGGCACCTATAAAGGAGAGTATAAAAAATATATGAAAAGAGGCAGACGGGGACAGGCATGAGCACAAAACTTGCCCTCTTTAAGCGTTAAATATTTACGACGAATACAACTGTTACACGTTAAATGATCTCGGCGATATTGCAATATATCGTCGTATATTAATATTTAATAGAACATGAACCTAACGCACCCGCCTACCGCACCTACCCACCGCTATTATATAATACACCTATATATGTGTGGTTGAAGTTAAGGTTATGATTTTGCGGCGTTTTGTTTGGAACGACGACAGCAGAATATTATTTACCGCCGCGGTTATCCGATTAAAACCCATTTTCTCTCAGCCGTATATGTTGTCTAGCGCCATAAGTGGGTTAAGTATTGTGGGTGAGGTGGAAGAGAGGAGTTCTCGATGGCTGAGACCGCCGTGCAGTGGTGTTCTCGCGGCTTCGACGCCATTACGTGTTAGAATAATTACAACCTTTTTCATTTTATTTATTTATGAAATTAAAAATTAGGTGTAAGTACAGCGTCGTGTTTTATGTCTCTCCTCAGTTTTTACTGAAACGAAAGACCTCATGATTTCCTACATCTGTATTATTATTGTTATTTATTTATTGGCGGAAAAAACTCCATAAACAAAATGATCTCTATACGTATAATGTATCTACCTATAGTTAGTTATTTAGAAAATAACAATATATAAACTAGTATAAATTTTATGAAAATTTATTTCCCATAAATATAGCAAAATAAACATCATATGGTACATGATTGTGTAATCGTAATTATAACTACCAACTGCGATTGACTTCCACAGTGTTTCCTACTTTCTTCAGTATAATTGCAAGAGATGATCATAAAAAAGTATTAGAAACAATATTAATTAAAAGCTGTCTTGATGCTTAATATATTAAGAATTAATTCGAAAATAAAATCTCCCAACAAAATATAAGGGTGATCTATAGATATATTTAATAATTCTTGTAAAAATAAATGATAAACTTAATTTTTTCTTTTATTTTAAGGTTTTCAATTGAAATATAACAATATACCAAAATTCTGTTGAGTTCAACATTACATTTTGATAGATAATAAAGGAGAAAATTATTTTGAACTCTTTCGAGATTTTGAGTTACTTTAGTAATATGCTATTTATTATAATAATAGTATCTATAGTTTGAATATTATCACAAAAACATACGAACTTCAAATAAGTGGAAATGTTGTAAAATGTCATTATATAATTAGCCATGTAATTGAGCATTGAATTTATTAATATTACTTAATCAGGACTATAACCTAATAACATAACCATTATCGTGTCTGTTGGCCTTTTTAATTTTGGCCTCATGTAGCTTA